TGAATGTTTTGGGGGTTTTGAACTGTCGGCTGGACATAATGAGCTCATTGGAAACTGGGGTGGAAACTTTTAACCATTTATTGACATTTTGTAAAGCAAGCGACTGATTTACGAAGTAATCAGTGTTATTGTTGTGTAGTTAAATTACTTTCACCAACTGCAACATTAAAATACTGCTTACCCATTAAAGCTCCACTAAAGATTTAAATACAACATAACACAGACAGGGGCCAATGTTGTCTTCATATTGGAGTACTTTTCATAGTTTAATTTAGCTGTTAATGCATCTGTAAGTCTACTTTGAATGCAGAACTTTTAAAAAAGGACCACTGATACTTGACCTAGTGCAATATTTTTAATATACATCCATCTATAATGTTACTGCACATCCATTTGATTTTGATTCTCTCACACTTAACATAAACATAACACACTTATCCACAAAGATTCAATCTGTAAATGAGACAAAAAGTATACAAATTAAACACATTTAGATGAAACAGATCAATATGTTGAGGCCACTGTCAGTCAGTGTGGGAGGCAGGCTGCTGGACTTGAACCTAATCCCCAACAGGGTGACCCAAGTAAGCATTTTACATAAGCTGGAGCACAGCCTAACAGACAGTTAAATCCTAAAATAAAACACAAGTGGAGCTAATTATGATTGGTTTTGGTTGCCTATACTGAGTGTAAAACAAGGAAACATTCATGGACTTCAAAAGTGAAATAACCAAACTTCTAAGTGGCTTTGCATTGGATGTGGACACTCACTGTTTGTAGTCATCCGTCCAGGGCAGAGCCAGCCAGTCTCCGTGCATATCGTGGTAATATTCAACCATGTCCTCGGAAGACTTGTCGGAGGAGACGAAAACTATCTCGAACTGAGCAGGAGGCTCGCTCTCTTCCACCAGCTCCGTGTAGAAATCACACAGGATGGGGGTGAAGTCTCGACACGGCGGACACCAACCTGCGGAGAAGTAGATCCCCACCACTTTATTCCTCAGCGCCTCGTCGGGCTCGACGAAATCACCGTCTTTGTTAAGAAGTGTCCGCCCGGTAAATACCTCCACCATGTCTGCTAAGAGTCGACACACTTCAAAATCAAAGACTCCTAAAGCTCTGGCGGCTGTTCAGGTGTCCTCTTAGCTCATGTTTCCGCCGCGGTTGGTGTCCCTGAAGAGGCTTCTCCTACTTCCCCGTAATATTTACCTTTCTGCGCAAGCTACTTACAGCCAATCCTGTTTAATCACCTGCGGACCAATGAGGACACATGGAGACGGTGTTGTAGTTCATTAGCCATGTGGGTTTCTTAAAGGGTAGGGGGGGAGGAGGGAGGGAGGGAAAGCTGCATTCAAACGCTGCCTGTATGCTAGTAATTTCCAGTTTAGCTGCAGCACGACGTTTCACTGCGCTTTGTGGCAGCTCAGAGGCGCGCATGCGCACAGACGCACGGCGCTTGCTCTTCATTCAGTTCCACTTCTGGCTTTTATCATTCAGATAGATTTAATTAGCTCTTTTCACCTGTGATTGGTGGGTGTGCACAAAGTATATCACTGAAATTATCTAATGTAATTATGTTAAAACCTATAATTTCCAGAATACCATCATTTAAAGCTGCAGTAACTGTTTTTGTCATATTAATATTCAATTAAACTTTAACTATGTCCTGACAGTAGTGCATGAGACAGATAATCTGAGATAAAAATCAGGTTCCTCTGGGTCATCGTAGTGCTCCTCATGGCGTATACACCAGGCCTGAACTAAAACAACCAATCAGACCCGAGAAACATAGAAAGAGGCTTTTGATTGGTGGCTTGAAGATAGTTGATTGTTAAGTCTCATTTCCAGCCTTGGTATTTGACAATGTCTGAATGAGACTCAATGATCAAATGTCATTCTCCGCTGTGATTGGTTATTTTTGATTGGGAGCCAGAGGAACCACATTATCTGTCTCATGTACTTCTGTCAGGACATGATGAAAGTTTTCAGCAAATAAGACAAAAAGTTACTGCAGCTGTAACATTATGCTTGGTGTTGAATAATGTAAACACATCAAACACTGTTACACATTCGTACTGACCATTTTATTTATTATGAACTATGTGTTCACTGTATGTTGGCACAACCTACAGACGTACACCATGCTGTTCAATAGTGGAACGTTTTCTGGATTAAGAGCTGCCACAGTTGAATCAAAATATTCATTTCAATCGCATTATGACCAAGACCAACAAAAACATGTTTGGTACATACCCCCAACAAACATTTTTTTAAACAGTTTTTCAGTGAAAATTTTGATGCAAAAATGATAACCTGTAACCACAAAATATCTACCATTTTTTTTAACATATTGTGCAGCTTGTGGACTGTATATAACAAATAGCATACATTATAGGATCATTCTATTATTCTGTCTTGTTTTTATTTTATTTTTTAAGTCTCAGATGGGAGCTGGCTCACATCATTGAAAGGGGCCAGTTCATAGAGCTGACACACACATCACTACTAGCTTGTTTTGTTTCTTCAACAATAAACTTTATTTATTTACAATACAGAGGTACAATAACAATTATCATACAAAAACAGAGCAGTAAAGAACAACCTTATTCAAGGAGTCCATTCATGGTGAGTTCTTTCAGAGTTCAAATAAAATGTACTATTTGATTAAAGTGCCATACTGTTCAACAGCAAACCGATGAAAGCAGGGTTGATTTATGAATATATAACATGTAAATTGAGTTATCTGTTAACATTTTTCTTCTTTTTCAGCTATGCTTATAAAATGATTAACACTATTAAACACAACCTGTTAGGGAAGGCATAATATTGCCTTATTAATGTGTATTTTAGACGTATATGATCTCAAAATAGTGTAATAATATCAATAATGTTTTATTTCACACTCTTTATAAGTGAATAATCAATTTTTAATCAAATTGATAATATGATCTGATTCTGTTATTAATGGCCTATACATCAAATATTTTGTACAAATATTCACAAAACAAAAAAAAACAAAACAAGACACAGATTCAATCATTACACCTGGACATGCAAAGACAAAAATACTTACTGAACTATAAACAGCATATAAAATATAAAACCTTGCATGCATCAAACTGAAGCATGATAGTGGATATGTAGAAAGGTTGATAGTAAACATAAATAATGGAATTAAGAGTCTGATGTGGGTTTTTACATGTAAAAATGACATTGTGTGTTTGCATGTGTGAGCAGATGGTTCACAGAGTCATACAACACACACAGTTATACCCATGCATGGCAGTGGGAACTAGAGCCTGTCATTACAGCACAGTTTTTCACAAGATGTTCTCATCTTGTGTAAAGAGATTGCTTTTCAATGAAGGAGGTGAAGGAATTTTAGTAAGTAGATTTCTTCTTGTCACTGAAGTTGACCCCTGTGGCCAGGACCTCTACTCCCGCAGATCTGGTTGGGGATTGATGGTGGCTGTCAGGGCCAGCGGGTGTAGTGACGTGGGTGTAGTCCATGCGTCACTGTGTGGCCAGTGTGTTCACATTCTGAAGATGAAGGAGCTCAGTTATACACGGACCTTTGTCCTCCATTATCCAGGTTGTGATTCAGACATCTTTTTATAGCGTCACATATGATTTTTTTGTCCTACATGCCTGAGAACACTTCAAAAGCAATTGAAGCCCTAACTTGAGACAAAAAGATCATGTCTGAATATCTTTATCATACAAGTCTAAATGTCACGTTTCATTTCTACAGTGTTTAATCATCTAAATCTTGTGCCATGTCACCTTTATCCGAGTGAACCCTCGCCTGATTGCTCCCCAGGGTATCATAAATGCAACAGAAGTGTTCATGAAGTGTGCACGATCAAAAGTCTGTTCGGGGTTCATCAGTGCAGGAAAATAAAACATTTTTGTAAAACTAGAAACAAAAGTGCCTCTGAGAGAAGCGGATCAACCCGTGGGGATGTTCACAGAAAGGACAAACTGGACCAGTGGGAGTACTAACAGAGGGCTGCTAATTGGTAACAGCTAGAAAGGCCAGGGCAGATAGTTTGTAGGGTACAGGGATGGCGCCAAGGATACAATCATATACTGCTGCTATTAGATATTTAACATTAGCCACTATCCATTAAAATTAACAGTGCCTGACCGATACCAATTTTAGAGGGGAAAATTCCCTGATTACCGATATGGTGGCCGACTTAATAACAGAAATGAAGGGGGAAAATAGAAAGAAAACACTAAATCACATCAACTTCTATCCTCATGATCCCACTCTTTTTAGAGCTTAAATAAAAATACCACTAACATTATATACCAGAAAAAACTGTTTTCATATTGGCACATATCAGATAACATATAAACAGATGCTAATATGTCTGTGATTTTTGTCAGAGTGGAAATGCCATATGCCATAGATTATGACAATAACAATTTTCAGGGATCACAGTGTGAGAGAAAGAAAAGTTGAACAACGTACTTAAAAAGAGAGAATGACGACACATGAGATGAATGAAACAATCAAAGCTAAAATACAATAGGAATAACAGTGACACTGCCATAGAGGAATACACATCTACTCACTATAGTCCATTTCAGGCAATTGAAAGCTGCTTTAAAATATTGCTTTAGAACGAAACAATGATGAAAAACTTGCCAAATTTAATTTGGCATACTTGGTCATGGTATTGTGTTGTCAGTGTTAAGTTATACCAGAAGATGTGGAGAAAAGCCGCACTACATTGCCCCAAGGTGTAAAAGGTTTTTGAAGCAGTTAAAAGTATTTATAGAAGAGTAAACTCTAGCCATGGTTGAGCTTCTGGTATATATATACATATATATCTATAAATATATCGATATATATGTACGTGTGTATACAAATCTCTTGTTTTTTGTGTAGAAAATGCATAGGTCAGTGTGCCTCTATCTCTCCTTGTTCCTTTAGTGGAGTGGAGTGAGGTAATTTGGAAAGAAACCCGGCCATTCTTTCTTTGCGAGCCCTTTGCTGCCCATTAGTGGAGTCAACTGCTCTGTTGAAACACTGACTTTTTTTTACAGGGAAGTTTTCTATCTTGAAACAATTTCCACCTCTAACATGACCTCTAATTCCAATTTATCTAACATGCGACGGCTGGTGGAACAACTGAAGCTCGAGGCCAGCGTGGAGAGAATTAAGGTAAAGAAAAGAAATGCAACATTAGATGTGAAAAGAGGATATCTTTAAAGACCTTGAGCGTTTACTAATGAGCTTTTCTTGATTTTGGGATTTTATTTACGTTGCTATAGTTACAAAATAAAAGATCAGATTCAACACATTGCAGTATATTTTGTTACTTTTATATTATGAAATTTATAGTTATTTATTAACTTCCCATTTATCTTCTTACAGCCTGTTCATTTAATAGTCTTTTAATGTACTATATATATTTTTTGTTCTATACTCTTATTACACTGATGTTGTAGCATGTTATTTATTAACCAAGGGCCAAATGGACATTTCAAAATTAAACTCAAATACATGTGAATTTAGAGGATAATGGGGAAGTGTTGCTCTGTGCTCTCCCCACACACGTTGGTACATCAAAATGTGGCATATGACAGATGCAGATATTAATCAAAAGATTACTAATAATTAAGTTATTAAACACACACACATACACACAGATAGTCGAAGTATTTGATGCCCACTTTTAAGATGAGATAATGTCCTTTTAATATTGACTGCTACGTAGTCACGTTCATGAGCTAAAATGTGAACAAGTAAGCTGAGGTAAAATGAATGGTTGAAAAAAGCACTGCAATCTATGCCCCAGACCAGTGTAGACCAGGAGAACCCGTTTGGATTTTGAACCCAGTTCTGTTCAGGATTCAGCAGCAGTCGGTAGCTGAATAGGGTCAGCCTCTGCCACTGTATTTTAACGTTGTTCATGATGGTGGTTCTTAGAGAGAGTAATATTTTCTGAGGTTGTACTTGGTGTAAACATTTAGCGAAACAATGCTTTAGCTCATAAGGGAGGCCCCTAATCAATAATGGGTCAGGACTTTATCACTTTTTAATAAACCATCAAGTCTGCAGTTAAAAGGCTATTATTAAAGGTTCTTGTGTATCTCAAACTTTAGTAGCCTGCAATTGGAAATGATAAGAAATCATTAATAAAAGGTTGTTTTTTTAAAGTTGTTTAGAAAGGGGTTTTGGTCCGAATGTCCTGCAGCCCTTTTCTAGAAGGTAAGTGGTCCAACAGTCTGTTGGAGGGGTCCCTAATATTAATTAAATTGCAAGCTAAAAATACAGGAGGATTTTCTATAACCTGGCAACCCGAAAGTTATTCTTATCAATGGATTGTAACTGATCCATTAACCATTAATAAAGCCATTAATTAATGCTCATGAACTCTTAATTAAAGGGGGATTAATCAGAAAGTAGTTTCATCTAAATAAACATGTCTGGGTCTGTGTTCCCAGGTGTCCCAGGCGGCTGCAGAGCTCCAGCAGTATTGTCTGCAGAACGCAGGCAAAGATGCCCTGCTGGTTGGAGTCCCCACAGGCAGCAACCCCTTCAGAGAACCGCGTTCCTGTGCTGTAGTGTGAAGGTCAGAGTCCACAAGGTTTACAGCCTTTATTTGCACGTAACACCTCTTACTGTAGCAGAATTAAAATAAAATAACTGCACTTTTCTTTGCAGAGGATGAAAAAGTGGAAACCACAGTGGCATATTACTCACTGAAGAAAGGACTTCAAAGTTGTTTTTAACCATTATTATGTTAATAAAAACACATGAAAATGAGGTTTTACAATTTACTTTCCAGATAAATGTCTTGTTTTACTGCATTAATGTACAGACAAAGTTGATTTTTTTTAACACATTAAAGGGCTTTACATAAACTCACTTCATCTCAGTCTTCTTTTAAATACCTTCTGAGAGCTAATGCTGTATGAGTGTGATCTGTTTTATACAGTGGACAGTGGCAGAGTCATCTATGGATTAAACAAAGCGGATGTTTATAGCCGGGCTCTAAATTACGCCTTGGAATTTCGCAGTGTCCGAGCTTCCTGGTGTTCAGTCTAAGTTAGGAGCACGGCCAGAGAGAGGAAACAGGGTCTTCCTGTTCAAAACTGCAAAGACACTGAACAGAGAGTCACACCTCACTCCGCTTATGAGCTTTCAAAGATTGTGGAACTTATTTACAAGCTCAAGGCTATGCTAGATTAGAAATAAAACATGAATCACCATCTTGTGGATATTGGATATTATGACTCATGTTTTATTGAAGTGTGTTTTGTCATTTAAGACAGCTGTTTATTTTATTTATTTTTTATATATTCGGTATAAAATGGAACTTATATATTTGAAGATGTGCACAATAACCCCAGAAACGGTCTAGATAAGCCTAAAAGAGGTCTAGTCAGTCATGAGACAGCTCCCTACTTTGCCACTTCCTTTTCCTCTAACATTGTTCTTGGACGAGTCTCAATAGTTTTCCCTTCCTTTGCTAACAACCTTTGTTCAATGTATACCACACTGAGGGTGTCAGAGGTTCTTCCCTTTTCACATTTTCGTCACATGAGAATGAGCATAAACAGAATGGGATGCAAAATAGGGTCATCGTACGTGGACACCAGAAACCAGAAAGCAATGCGAAGCCGATTCACACGTGAATATCAGTTATATAAATATTTTAACCCCAAATAACTTGCAAAATGCAGGCGGTCTGACAGAAGAAAGCTATCCAGTTACTGTGGCTGCATTATATTCTGTTCTGGAGCTCAACGTGTTTTAAAGAAGTTACCATTGTCCTTTCCTAATTTTCCTAATTTAAATTAAATTAATTAAATTATTAAAACAATAAAACTTATACTTAAGCTGTGGTTTGTCACATATGTTTGTTATATATTTAACATTATCATCTTACATATGTTTCTACACATGCTTGATAATATTTATTTTTATATTTTGTTCATTTTTGTTAACTAACTTAATGTAATGCGAGTAAGTTAATTTTAAAAAGTATCAGGTAGTAAGACTTTTACTTAAAAAGTAAGTGGTCCTTTAAGTAAATAATTTGTGTTTATTCATATAGTGTCCTATTTTACATTGCAGGGAGGTTTTTGCATCTGTTAGGTGCAGTGTTTTATGAAGTTAACATGTCTTACACCATCTGCTGGTCGTGTATAGAGAACAAAAATATCACAATTTATTTTTTTCTCAAGGCAGCAAAGGTAAAGCCAGTAGTGGAAGAAGTATTTTGATACTAAAGTAATAAAACAAGAATATAGAAATACTCCATTACAAGTGAAAGTCTTGTGTACTGAAAATATCACTTAGATAAAAGTAACTAAGTATCTCAAGTTAGAAAAAAGGCCCATATTCTCTTATAATATCTGTAATGTATAAGCAGCATTTTACTGCAGTAGTTGTGGAGCTAATTTTAAGTATTTTTGTATGCTGTTGGGTATAATGATGCTTCATATTTCATAAGCTAACCATGTGTTTTGTTTATAAGATCTTAATTTATAAAGTAATGCATAACTACAGATGTAATTATACAGAGGAGTACAATACTTCCCTTTCAGTATACAATGGAAATATTATGTAACATCCATTCGTACTTTCACATTAAACTATCTTTTAGTTGATTCATACTCTTCAGGTGTCAGTTTAGACTAACAAGTCCAGATGTTGCAGCAGTGTGTTTCAGTGTCTGATTCCGTTGGTTCTCCTGCATTTTCCCTACTCTCTGTTGGGCCAGGAAACCTGCAAAATTCAGTTCAGATATCAACATGCCCCAGACTGCACTTCTGTCCTATGTTCAAAAGATTAAATAACTCTGTCTCACCGATTCGTACTGTCATAGATTACAACAACACACTTTTTAGGGTCATTTATTTTATTTAATTTATTTTATTTTTTTTGCCCAAGACTGTTTCACAACGTTAACCATGTGTTTATTATTGTTTTAATATGGAGTTTACCCCTGTTCTTTAACTAGACAATTTGGAGTGGTGGAGCCAGGTAAGGTGAAGAATAGGTATGAAGGTCAGACCTATTATATATTCACCATGCTGTTGAAAGAAAGAAAATGGATGCTACAATTGGATGGAAATCTGAGAAGCCCCCAACGTTGATTTACTAGAGTAGCACTCTTTCAGAAAATTTGGGGACCTGTCGTTAGTCAGATTAAAAATGTATTGAAAAAAAGACTGTAAGCAAAAAGGAAACAGCTGGTCTGTCATATTTTTTTTCCTCTTTTGTGTTACCACCAATGTTTTTGTTTTGTTTTGGTGCCTTTTTGTTTGTCTGTTTTTTCACTATAACATTATTCAGATAGGATATTACAGATATTATCAAGCCCACCCAAAAGACAACATAATGTAAAATATGAATGGATTCTGAACTATCATGTTCAACTGCCTGTTGTGTCTTGTTTATGGGTGTTGTGTCTGTCATCTAATTCTTAAGAAAAGGAAAGTATAAAGGTGCAGTTGTTCTTTAACAAGGAAATAACTTGAATAGCTTGAATGGAGTCGTATTCTCCTTTAAAGGTGTGGGCGGGGAGGAGAGTGCGGAGTTGGGTTTCAGTGCCACCCCCCTTTTTCTATTCTCACACACACACACTGTAGTGCAGTCAAGACACAGTCCAGGGAGGCACTTTGGGCTGTGTGTGCTTTGGTTATAGCGTCAAGCTTTCCTGGATGACTATGAACGTAACTGCCATCAATGAAGGACCACAATACGACACTCCACTGGGGAACTTGTACACACCTTTTTCAAAGGTCACTGACCTCTGAGAAAGGATTAATCCAGTTTCACTCTTATTTCTCAATGACACTGAACTTTCATGTATCGGATAAGCAATTTTATCAAGTGAGGAGATGGCCAAGGTGTACAGACTCTATGTAGGAATAGTAACAGGTAAGATTTACTGTTTTACCCTTTTATTGAATCAGTGTTCACCTTGCCTACTTACTGGTTGTGAACAGAAGGCTGGTTTTAATACTATATAACAGTTTGGAAACGTCAGTGAGACACTTTAGAGTAATGTTTACATAAAATATATTTTTTTAATGTATACTCCTAGGGAAAGTCTTCTCTGGGGACATACGTAGTGTTGTTTTGATTGTTGACGCACCTTTACAACATCTATCTGCCTTCAAAGTAACGCAGCCAAAAGCAGGTTTGGAGACAGTGCTCTCCCTCTCACTGAGCTATTTTTGTACAGTAGACTTCAGTGTTGGTTAATGATTGAATGAAGAGTCCAGCAATATTACTAATCATTGTCAGAACAGGCTTCCCAGAAAGTGGAATGAAATAAACCTCATATATGCACAGGTTGGAGAGGGTGAGGTGTCTGTGGTGAACTTGTATTTAATTATCTGAGTATGACAGACTGTTAATATGGTTTTGTTTAGAGCAAGTTAAAAGTGTGTGTGTATGTGTTAGAGAGAGAGAGAGAGAGAGAGAGAGAGAGAGAGACAGGAGTGGGTGTGAACGAGAGAAATCGGGCACTCTCTCCTACCCTACATGGCTGGCTGGCATCATGACTCAGCAGCTATTCACTAATCATTGTGATCATGTGTTTTTTCCTGTCATCTGTTGTGTGGATCTCTCTACTGTAGGTGTATGTGGGCACAAATGTTTTTTATATTTGTTTGTTGTGAGTGTGTACATATGTGTGTGTGTGTGTG